GGCCGGGATTGATTGGGACGCGAAGGGAGGCTTCTTAATGGGCAGGCTGGGCAGGCCGGGCTGGGAGAGGAGTGCAGGTGCGTGCGGTGCACGAGAAGCAGGCGGTGGACCGACGGGCAGGCCGACCCACCCCTCACCTCCTAACACGACGCACAGACAGGCAGACAGACGGACAGATAGACAGACAGACAGAGAGGCGACTGACAAACTACTAATCAGTCAGCGGGACGGACAGGCGGACAGGCATTGGAACAGGAAGACGGACGGGCGGGCTGGATGGCGTCCTCGGCGACGGCGGACTTGGCACGCGCTCCAATTCGGTAATGCCCTTCTCGGAGGCAGCAGTGGGTGGGCCGGAAAAATTCATGGACATCGTTTGCTCGTTTTACGTCACGGCAGTGAGGGTGGGCTGATGGCTCATGAATGGGGAACAAATATTGCAATGACTTCCACCGCGCCGCCGGGCTCTTCCCGGGCGGCGTTGTCATCCGAATCCTAACTTTTTCACGCGGCAGGAGTGAAGGACGCACCATGAAGCTGCCTCCATCACCTCGGCCAGGAAGTTGGTCCGCCTGTTCGCAACGCGCGCCGTGACACAGTGTGACGGCTCTTCGACAGTGTCGTGGCCGCACCGCCTGACGGCAACGCGCTTCGTCGCGGTGGTCCCGCGGGGCACTTGGTGGCGAAGGGCGGCAGTGAGGACCGGCTGCCTCGGCTCGGCTCGGCCGGCCCCCAGAAGTCCCGAAGCGCTGCGCCAAAGCCCCACAACTCGGCCGCGTCGCCGCGTCGCCGCGCCCGTGACGGCGAGGCGTCTTTTCCGCGAACGCGCCGCGCCTCGCCGCCCCCGGGAGCAGCGGACCGAAAATACACGCCGCCCAGTCCGTTCACCGGGCAAACTTCGCCGGACTCACGGCAGGGCGGTTCGCTCCGTCACCAAGAGGTGCCCGGAGGTGCCCAGCCCACTGCTTCTTTTTCCGTTCCAAAACTCCGCGCTGCAGCGGCAACCTCGTATCACCACTGCCTCCAGTCCGCTCCAGCCCGGCCGTCCCAGCCGCACGCCCCGGCACTCCAGGCTCCCTGCGTCGCAGACAAGGACAAGAAGGTGCAGGGCTGCGAGGGCTGCCTGCCGGGGAGGGCTGTGACAGGTGTGGCAGCATGCAGAGCGCCACCGAGGTCAAGTGACGCTCTTATGACGAGGGTGAGACAGCAGCACGGCCCCCAAACCCCAGAGGGGGCCCCGGAGGGAGCCCCGGAGGGGGCAGCGGCGTGCGTCTTTGAGGGGTGGGGGGCCGGGAAGGACCCTCTCGGACCGGTCGCGGAAGGATCCCAAACGGACAGAACAGGATGGTCGGTTTGTGGCCCCGGGGGGGATCCACTGTGGGCCTGTCACTCACGAATCGAGTCCCCGGTGGGCTTTTCCTCGTGTTGTCTTTCGAGCGGTGCCCCAGCTCACACCAACACTTTTCTTCAAAACTACCTGACCACTCAAAACTCTTTGAATGAAACGCGACCTTCTTTCGTTTAACTTGGACCTTGCTGAGCCGCATGCCAGTCTCAGCTAAAAAAAATTAGTGATTTAAAAATAAATTTATGGGAGTTTCGAAACAAGCTGCATTCGGTATTCGGTTTTGACGTTGTCGCATATCGACCTCGCCGATCCGTCGTCGCTCCGCTCACTGCGTTCCTTCGCTCGCAAGGAATCGTCGCTTCGCTGCCACGAGGAAAAGACGCAGTGGAACGACACACGGCGACGACGATGACGCGGGCATCGTCACGTCGATTCCATTAAAGGAATAAAACGTGTCGACACACACTGGTGTGCGCGTGTGTGTGTGTGTGTGTGTGTGTCACTGCGTGGCACACAGCGCACCTAATTGAGGTGCCATGCAAACAGACCGCTGAGCCCTTCCCAGTGTGTGGCCAGGCCTCGCAGGCCTCGCCTCGCCGAATGGGAAGGGCCAACAATTTGCACGTCCATCCGAGTCCACTGCTCGCACTCAACGCAGCTATCCCGTAAAGGTCGAGGGAAAAAAAAAGTCAAATCGTCAGTGTAATCGAAAAATGTTTCCTTTTTGTGTTTGTTTTTAGAGGACTTCAGTGAACTAACCATTGTTTGCAGGGTGTTCCCTCGAAGGTCCTATAATGCAACCTAAAAACGCCGGCTCGTGGATTGGAAATTTGAGACATCAACACAGTAGTCTCTTTGAGGGAATGCGTGAAAAGCGACACAAACGGGCGGAGGGCTGTTTGACCTCGAATGCCCCCAAGTCGAAGTGACGTCCCCGTAATCAGATCTGCCCCGCCCTCTCCCACTACGAGGCAATGACAGCACATCGACCCCACACTGTGAACCGGCATGGGTGCAGCAAAGGGGGTCGCCTGCCGGGGATTTGGGCAACTCGCGTGAGACGCCGCGACAGTCGAACGTCGGCCTGTCTCTCTCGCACCCCCACGGGGCGCTCCACGAGTGCGAGAGAGACGGAGAGAGGCCGCCCTTTAACGCGGAAAACCAAGGCGGCTGCATAATGCCCCGCAGTGGTTGGAGCGACCGCCGAGGATCGAACGTCCGATCGGAGTGAGGGTGCCTTTAAAGAAACAAGAGGCCGACGGGAAGTCAGCTGCCTTCGCCGCCCCGCCACGGCTGGCAGCCACTGGCAGGCACACTGGCAGCCAGCCGTTCTCGTGCAACATGCAGAAGACGTGGACAAGGCGGACAAGGGGAGGGGGGCAGGGGTTGTACGGCAAGACAGGGCGCGGAGAGACAGAGAGAGAATCTCCCGGCAGTGGCGGGAAAAAATAAGTGACTGGCACGGACTGGGCGAGGAGGAGGGCGGGGAGAGAGAGAGAAAGAAGGTGCGGCAGCCTGGAGGGAGAGAGCGAGACGGCGAGAGGGAACCGCAATGAGGTCCGGGACGCTTGCAAGTAATGGTGATGGATGCCGTCTCTGTTTAGTCCGCTTCAGCCGCTTCACCGTGCCGTTTGGGCCGTTTCGGATGATCGACCGCTGAAAGGCGAGAGGAGAAGGCGGAGAAGACTGCCGCGCGCTGACACGGAGGAGAAACAAGCCTGGGAACTATTTTCGCCATGACAAAAAAAAATACTTGCACTAACAGTTACGACGAAACAGAAATTGAAAAAAAATTAGCACGTGGGAAAAAAATACGACCGCGTGGCGGCGAAAAAATGGCAGGGTAAATCTAAGGCCAGCCACGAACTTGCAGGCCGGCCCTGCCACAGTGTAAGTGCAATAGCAAAACCTATGCAGCCGGGGGATGGGGCCGGGCGGCGACAGTTTCCGTCGGGGGGTTGGAGGTGGGGGGGGGGGGAGAATCCACCGAGTGGGGCAGGCTGGCCGCCCGGCCGGGCCGGACCAGCGCGCCTGCCAACCGGAGGGTAGGCAAGAAGCTCCACAGCCGTGTCGGCCGGGACTGCCTACCCCGAGGACCGCAGGCGCGCGGCGGGCGAACCTCCGGCCGCCTTGTGGACTAATTCCGCGCGCCCAGCTGCGTCCTGCCGCTGGTGTGTGCGTTTCAGCCGCCTCGGCGAGGGAGGGAGAGGAGATCTTCGAATTTACAGTGCGGTCGCTGACTATATTCAGGTTCGAATTACCGCAAAGGAAAGAACCGGAACCTAATCCAAGACCGTTACCGCACTGGGACTGCCTGGCGGCGGTGCGGCGGTGCACTGGCCCCACCAGGCCGGGCCAAGGACGCCGGCCCGTGACAGGCCGGCGGGCAGCGCGCTGCGTTTTTACGGCCGCCCTAAACACTTTTAACTGCACCGCGTCGCGGTTCCGCGGTCCCCGATGTGGCGCCGCTTTCCACCGCGACTTGGCCGCGGCGCGCGGCGAGCACCTGCAGGGCGTCTCGCAGGAAATGGGCCGCGCTGCGCAGTCCGCCACTACATAACGCCTACCCCGACCGCAGCCCGTCAACAAGTACCCGCCCCCCACCACCTCAACTTTCCGCCTCGCCCTCGTTCTCCTCGCACTGGCCGCAGTCTAGCCTCCAGCCATTGTCTCCGCCGGATCCCCTTCACCCACACACCCCCAGTCACACACACACACGGCCGTAATAGTCGGCGATGGGTAATTCATCTTCGTCCTGCAAAGACGCTCCCCCCTCCCCCTTCCCAAATCCCACCTGGACCCCCCACCCACGCTGTTCTCCGCTGAGCTTGTCCGCAGGGCTCTCCTTCTCCCCCCCCCCCCTTCTCCAGGGCAGCCGATATGGCTGCTACTATGGTTTAGGCTCAGGCCACTGAGACACTCCAATCAAGCTCGCTGCTCAAAAATTTAGCTCGCTGCATTTCTGATACACTGGTGGCAGTCGTCACTGGCTAGACGACACTGCTCTCCACCTTCCGCCCTCAGTTGAGCCTAACTGTATTTTCAGTAAAAAGTTTCAGGTTGTAAAATACACTAACCTTTTTCAAAAAGTGCAGCGTGAACCTTTGCCCTGCTTTCAGCCGTGAAAAATCCGAAGACGGCGAGAGAAAAATAGAAAAGCCCGCTCGGCAGACGCACGCACTACGTGTTGCGCTGCACTGGAAAGTTTGAGCGGCGTGACGTCACGCCATGACGTCATCCATCAAGACATTCCTCGGCAGCCCTTTCCCAGACACCCTTTAAACTCGGTGACCTCGTTAAGGCGGGGTGACCTCCCTGACCCACTAAGTATAATTGATCTGGCCGTCAGCGCGACCGGCTCCGCGTCAGAGGCCCCCCTCCCCGGACCCTTTTTTTCATCTCCTCTTCCCCACGACCGCTCTCTCTCTCTTCTCTGAGCCCGGCGGTGTATTTTTCGTGTTTTATTCTGTTTTTATCTTTCATCATTGCAGCAGCGCGCCCGTCATAGAGAGACACCAGAAGAGACCAAGTCCCTAGGGCTGCCCCGTGGCTAGCGGCCCCGAAAGCTTCAGACGGAAAGAGGGAGGGGGAGGGGGCGGCATCGCGCCGGCCCGGGCATACGATCCATCACATCAGAATCTCTGACACTCACCGCGAAAGACGTCACTGCCGGACGAAACTCGCTCTCACCTGCCAAGAGAAAAAGAAAATTTTGTTAGACGGCCAGAACTTCGCCACATCAGCCGAGTCACTCAATTCAAAAACATTTCCGACATTTCTACACTGTACTATCCTATCCAACTGACGTTTCGAAACGAAATTCGTGTGGTTTTGAAGTGCAGGAAATCAAATCATCTACGTGACGTGAGCGCAGCCACCGACATTCCCTAAACGGTTTACAGAACGCACGGTCACATATTTTCAAATGGCGCGCCTAAAACCCTTCCCCGCCGCGGCAATGCGTCACAATTGCCGTCTGACGGTTTTATCGCGACCGCGAAACACCCTTTTACAGCCCGCTCGACACTGGTGAAGACACAGTGTCCGTGGAGTCGGTGCACCCACTGCAAGCGCCGGCCCGCCGGCACGCCAAACCACGCCCTTTTTATTTGGAAACCGAGTTGGAAACGGACGTTTTTTCCGAGAGCCGGGACGAAACTCGGGTGTACCTAGCGCTCATTTTGCACTTCATTTTGGAACGGAGCATGGCGTTGCGCTAACGAAGTCGTTTTGCGAGCAGTGCCGCGCCACGCCACGCCACGCCTCGCCGTGGAGCCGGATGGAGACGAATCTGTCGGCAACGGCTTCAGTCCAGAGGGCTTAAGTCCGCGTTATCTAATGAAGTAATTTCCGGAGGGATTACCATGCAGGCCCGGCGTCCCATCTCTCTCTCGCTCGCACCCACACGCCCCATGAGTGCAGAGTGAGCGAGACTGAAGTCAGTGCGCCGGGTCTAGGCACGGGTTGAGCCGCCCGGGCTTGCCTTAGCGCCCCACGCCGCTGCCGACAGTCGCTGCAGGGGGGCTGACACGCCTAAGCCGGGCCCGCACCATCTTCGGCTGTTGCTCGACTTGCAACGCCCTTGCCGGGCCCGTGATCAGGACGTTTTCAAGAGACACGCAGTCCAGTGCACAGTGGGCCAGAGGACCGGTGGAGGCGGACAAAATTCTAGACGTGAGCGACGCTAGACTTTTGACCGCCTCAGCGCACTGTACCGGGTATCTCTTGGTGGGGCAAGCCGGGTTGTTTGCGACGGCGGCGTGGTTCAAAATGAGAGCCAACCTTCCTTTAATTAGCGCCGTCTCCGCTTACACGACGCCGAAAAACAAAAACAAAAAAGCGATGCAAAACAGCAGGACCTAATCAGCAACTCTTTGACGGCATGAATAAAGATGACGCTGCGTCTGAGGACGTGACGCGCCCTGGGCAGCGCGGCCAGCGTGCCACCCAGTGTGCCGGCCAGTGCGGTTCACGGCGCGAAGACTGAAGGCAGCAAGTTGGCACGACCGTCGTGTGTCCTGCTGCGCGTTTATTAGTCGACATCATGGTGCCTTTGTAGGGGGCTGTACAAAGCAGCGTACCACAAACCTCTGCTTCAAAACGAAAATGTGTCGCCCAGACCATCCAGAAATAAAAAAAATAGTTCACACTCTGTTTTGAATTTGGTTTTCTTCCAAAGAGTGCGCCTGGAGGGGGTGTCTATCTGCTCTGGGCGACGAGCCTGTTGCAGAACGCAAAATGGAAAACAAATCCTCCGCTGATAACCATCTTTTGAGATCTCAAGTCCCGTTTGAAGCGGCACTCGTGACGCGGGGGCGCTGAGCCGGCCCGGCGTCGTGTCCCAGGCACATCGGCAGCGAGACGTTTTTAAGGGCCCCGCTCCTCGGGGTGAGTGCCGCGTTTAAGGGCATCCCTTAGTGCCCCCGCCAAGGACACACAAACCGAGCCGCCCAAAGGCACGGACAGAAAAAGGGGGACGCGCACAAACTACGTCATTGCACGGGAAGAAAGCCGAGACCACAAAACGACCAAATACACTTTAAAAACATGGGTGGACCGAACATGTTTCGGGCTTCCACTTCCTATGAAAGCGATTTTCGGCGCTCTATGACGGAACCGGGCGCACAGCCGACGGGTGAAAAATGGGCGGGCGTCCCTTCCTTCCGCGAGCGCGCGCGGACCCTAACGACCGGCGGAACCAGTCAATAAGCCTGCTGGTGCCTTTCCCACGGTCGGGGCCACAGTCCACTTCACACGGCTTCCAAAATTTCGGCGCGGCGGAGGTAGGTGGACGGCGAGGTTTTGGTGGCCGTTCGCGGAGCGGAGCACAGCACACGAAGCCCGGCCGGCACGCCAATCCGCCTTCTTTGGCCGGGCCCCTCCTCGTCGCGCTCGGAGGGGCTTCGGAACGCTCTTGGCCTTGAGGTGGCCCTCCAAGTGGTCATCGAGGAGGGCGTGTCCGCGCACGCGAGCCCCCCCCCCGCCCTTCGCCGCCAGCCCCCGCGTCGTCGGCCCGTTCGGCCCGGCCCCGCGGCCTAAGCATTCCGCCCCCGCCTCTTGGCTTCCTTTTACCTATTCAGCCCGCTTACTTATACCAACATTAAGCATTTTACGCTCTCAAAAATAAGTCGCACTCTTCGCGACGAGTAAAATAGCACCGCACCCAAAAAAAAGTGACATCTCGGATCAAAAAAAAATTAACTTTCCTTTTTTTTTTCAAGAAAATTTTTCTTTGCCCAAACTTTTTTCTTTGTGCTGAAAATTTTTCTTGTGTTAAGCCATTTTTTTCTTATAAAGAACCCAAGAAAATTAAAAATCAAGAAACCTTTTTTTTCTGGGTGCGCAGTGACGACTCGTCAAACTCATTCGTTTCGGCGTTTCGTGGTGTGATGCACGAGCTGGCATCCAGGCTGGACGGCGAGCAGCGAGGGGCAAGACGTGTGTCCGTTCCTTACACCACACAAGCCATACGAGTGGCCGCGCCCTGCACATTCTGCTCTGTAAGGATTCCGGCACCTACACTCTTGGACCCTCGCTGCGCCTCGCTGCGACCCTGCATACCAACCTACCTCACCCGCCCCACGCCACTTTCAGCCCTGTGCCCCTTTCCGCCCACCACCCCGCCAGCCCTGCCAGCACTTTACTCCCCCCCCCCACAGACCTCACTACCTGTGTCACTCCGCCTCCATCGCCGGCGCGTTGCCCCCCCCCCCCCCCCCTATTTTCATCGCAACACAGCCATGCGGGCGGATCGTTTTTGCAAGTCTCGCTTCTTCTTGTTGTTGCGGTGTTGTTGTTGCTTTATTCTTCGCTTTCCAAACTGGTTTCCGGGCCACTGTTCCGGTGGCCACCCGCCCGAAAAAGCACACACACATTAATTAGCCCCCGCCCCCGCCATCACGCGCACACTTTCCGACAGTTTAACGTTACACCGCGATTTTTTTTACCCGATCGGTACACGATGAAAAAATTCGGCTGTAAACATAACGTCAGGCTGTCTTTCCTTGCAAGACAGTTGATGAAATTGCTGTCGCAGAGATGAGAATTTCATCACTCTGGAGAGGAACTGTCATTGTTTTCAAGTGATGGAGAATGTCGCGCACCTTACATGTGACAGTGACGCGACGACACGTTTTCATCGTGTACACTAGCGGCAGAAAACGGAATTTGTTTGCGACGGTAGGATACATCGTCCCGGCGGTGGGCGCACGTTCCTTGCTACGGCTCACGAGGACCATAGTTGCGGATCGACTTACGTGACCGATTCTAGGCTGACCCCAAGACCCGCGTGACCCAGGGTGTGATCCATTGCGTCCCCCCTCCCCTCCGCACCTGCGGCAGGTCCGACGCACTTGGAACGCTCGTCCTCGGCATACTTTCTTTACTCGCCAAAGTGATCGCATGCGGTAAAGGGGAAGAATCTCTTTGATGTGGAGGGGCTGCCGGCGGCGCGCGGGCCCGCGGCAGCTGGGAGGAGCTGGAGCAAGAAGTGTTCGAGAGGGCGGAGGGGGTGGGTGGGGGAGGAGGAAGACCGGGAACTGTTCGCGCGGCTGCCTCCGGGACCCAAATTCTTGTGGAACCAGATTTATTGCGTGGGACGGGGTTCCCCCGGTTCCCCCGCGTGTTCCGACACACGTCCAGAGACCGTCAACGCGTTCAAGGTGCCAACACACTGTAAGGTTTCTACTGCACCTTGGCGTCTCAGAAACCAAGTCGAAAAATGCTTATCATTTTACAATAGTTTTTTTGTTTGTATTTTTTTTCTTTTTCTGAAAGACAGGTCTTTGGAGCGCACTTTCCAATTTTTTTCCCAAAACGGAAAAATAACAATGTACTACCAAGGTAAGAAAACCTTTTTATTGTCAGTGGTGTTTCATGTTTTGTGGTTTCATCCCGAATTTCGTGGAGCGGTGCTGCGACGGGCGCGGCTCGGCACGGAACGGCTGGGTGCCCTGACCCCCTTCAATGGCATTAACTCGGCAAGATATCCTCGCCGTCTGGCTTTATAACGCATTCCGAGCCGCGTACACTGTCAAACGAACACTCGGGGAGTTCCGTGCGAGTGGTGAGGACGCGACTCGCGCAGGACGCGAGGGCTGTCTGCTGTTCACGCCAGAGGAGTTCTGCTCTTTTCTGCGTCTGTCTGTCTTTCAGTCTGTCTGTCTGTCTGTCTGTCTGTCTGTCTGTCTGTCTGTCTGTCTGTCTGTCTGTCTGTCTGTCTCTGTCTGTCTGTCTGTCTGTCTCTCTCCCTCCGAAAAGAACGGTGTGTCTCACCACAGACACGCACGAACCCAAAACGGCGGCCCGACACGAAATGCGATGGCCCTGCATACATGCTGCAGAGGCCGGACTTGACGGACTGGCCGGACCCTAGACCTCGGCTGGCCCCGCAGGCCGCAGCCCGCCATGAACTGATTCCGAGTCGTCACTCTGCCTCTCACGCACCTGTACCGGTGGCCCAATGAGTGCGACAGAGACAGAGCGACGAAAGCGGCTCTCGGAGTCAGTCTGCAGACGGGCGGCGCCCGCCTCAAACCTCGCCTCGCCCCGCACGGCACGGACGGTGGGAAGGTCACCGAATTTTATAACGCGGGGCGGGGAACCGAGTCGTGCTTCTGAGTACAGCCCGCACGGCATCGTCTACTTCGTCGGGGTTGGGGTCGCAGAGCGTTCGCTACTTCACCGAGATA